GCGCGTCGGGCCTGCGCGGAGAGCGGCGGAGCCTGGGCGCGCTGGGCCGCGGCGCAGGCCAAGGCCTGGGCCACCTCCGGTGGCGGCTGGACCGGGCCAGGCCAGCGGCGTAGCATGTTGTTGTACGCGTGGTACAACGAAGCCAGCCCGGCGACCGTTTCAGGGAGCCCGTTCTCGCCCTGCGGCTCGGCGTCGTAGTCCGCCGGTGCGCCCGGGCCGGCGGTGCAGGGGGGCGCGCATGTGCGATGGAACGCGCGGCCGCGCAAACACTTCACCACGCTCCGCGGCAAACAGATGAATAACGTGAGATACCGCCCGCATGGACTGCGCACCCCCCTCTGCAGAACAGCCGGCGCTGACCAGCGTGAACACGATGTCACGTCTTTCATCGCACCCCGGGTAACAGAGAGCATGTACTGTGCCATCGACTGCCGCTGGGTCCAGACAAGGGCGGCCCAGCGCCCTTCCCGCACGGTGCGGGCTGGGAGCACATCGAAGGCGCGCCCATGCCATTCTACTGCAAAGTCGCGCCCCCCTCTGAGTGCGACCTCGGCCGTCATCCACGCGGCGGCCCAAGCGGCAGGCAGCGCCTTCAGCGCAGGCCCGGGTGCCCACTCCCCCATGTTCAGCAGGTCGCCCGAGGCGAAGCTTTTGGGAGGCGCCTTCAGTATCCTGTGCATAGTGTGCGGCTCGCATTTGAGGAGGTCTGCCGGCAGAGGCGGGAGCTGGGCCAGGCAGGCGAGAACAGCTATCACGGAGCCGTTGCACAAGGTGATCAGCTCTGCAGTCGACACTGGCACGAACTTCAGCACGGACGCGCGCTGCTTGTACTTCGTGGCGGCACGCCATGAGTCCCCACAGGCCGACCCTGAGCCCGGCACGAACCCGACGCACCGCACCTTGGAGGCAATGTCGAAATCGGAGCATCGGGGACGATCTCTCTGAGAGCCGCGCGGGCGTCCATGAGGGCGGCTGAGAGGTCAGCGGCAGCCACCCACAGCGGCACGAAGACGCACTTCCGCGGCTGCAGGTGCAAACATGCTAGGCGCCCCATGGCGTGAACGTGAGGCCCGATAGGGGTAAGGAGGCAGATCTCCCACAGTGCGATCCCCATGTCGTCGGCGCAGACGCCGAGCTCGGCGTCCCAGCCAGGGCCCAGAAGTTGCGCGTCGCGCTGGGGCCGTCTGGCCTTCGAGCGCGAGGGCAATGCCAGAACGCTGGCCAGCCCATCCACAAACGAGGCCGTGGCCGGGGCCCACAGAGTGCCCGAGCGAAGGCAAACCTGGGCCACACCCGTCAGCGCGAGGCACACGTGGAAGGACTGCGGCCCGATGCCTGTCCAGCAGTGATCCCCGTCGTACAGCGCCCTGACCAGCTGGATGCACGAGTTCGGGATGCCGAACTGGCATACCGTCGGACCCAGGACAGGAGAGCATCCTTCAAGAACATGAGACCCTCCGCCGGCCAAAATGAAAAGCATCCGAGGGTACCCTCCCCCAGGATGCACAAGCACGTCCAACAACCACGCCGAACACTAGGGCACCCTCCCCGAACCGACCCCGACCTGTATACCTCGCTCCGACTGCAGCGCAGCAAAGAGCCACGCCAATGCCAGGCCGGGGAACGCCGCGGCCACGTCGAAGGAGACGGCGCGCGGGCGGCGGCGGGCGGGGGCCTCCGCGGAGTCAAGCATACAGCGACCCTCGTCTCATCGAGGCACCACGCACTCTCCACGCCCCTTGACAAAGCCACACCGCGGGCTGGAGACGTGCGTCTCCACGACTACCCACACGTGCAATGGGGAACCGACCCCGAGAAACCTGCCACAAGAAGCCCAACCCTGCGACCCCGGAGCGTGCATGGATTCTTGGCGCGGAAACATCATGCCTTCCATGGGAGAACCATCGAAACCCGAGAAACCCAGGGCACCCTGGAGGCAAACTGGGTGCTTCTTAGCATGGGCCCCCGCTGAGAGAGGGATGCTCGTACCAGTGAGCCTCTCCGCATATGCCCAGCCCCTGGGGGACGGCGCCCGCACTACGAGCCGGGATGCCCCCCAGAGACGGGGCGAGCCTCCAGGGCAGCGCACAGTGAGGTGAGAGGCAGAGCTACGCAGGTGTTGCCACCGGCCAGGCCTACACCATCGCACACACCCTCGGCGCCCGTTGGCCGCCGACGCCAGCAGCCTCGCGTCGGAGCTCTTGCGCGCGAGCGGGCGGGACTGGGCGGGCCCGCGGTCCACCCGCGCCCGCCGGCGGCGGGTGCCGGCGCCCCGCGAGCTGGGGCCACGACGCACTGAGGCCCTGCGGAGGAGACGTCCCGCCCATGATTCGAGCAGGAGGTCGACTACAGAATTGATGCACCTCAAACTTGATCTTCCATGTCGGATCTACGGCAAATGCGTAGATACACGTAGAACTGGCGTAGACCACTCGTAGATTCGACGAGAGGTTTGCGGCTCTGGGGTACAGCAATTCTGCAGTGGACCTCCTGCTCGGAGGATTGCGAGCCGGGCGGCGGGCAAGCGCCGAGTGGCTCCAGGAGCCCGCGCCCAGGCCACGCACAGGGGGTTGTGTGCCGGTCAAGCTCGGGGCTCGCTGAGGGGCGGGCGCGGCGGACTGCCCCGGCCGCATCCTCGGTATATCCGGGAACGGCAGCTCGATGTCGGGGAGACGGGGGAGGTGGCTCGGGCGGGTGGTCATGGGGGGTGACCCACATGGGGCGGGAGGACAAGGGCCCCTTCAGGGCCTTTCCCTTCACCCCCCACGTGGGCCAACCCCCATGATCCCGAGGGAAGACGGGGGAGGTGGCACTGGAGGCACAACCGGAAATCCGATCAAAAAAACTGATCGCTTCTTAAGGAACCTGGGCCAGCTGCCCGCAATTTGTCTTATAACAGACCTGGGCCAATTTCTACTGTGAACGCGCTGGAGGGACGAACGTGCTCCAGAAACTGAGCCGGCTTGCCAGCAAGTTGGTCGAGGAACGCTGGCACAGCTTTTCGGGAGGAGGCTTCTTAATGAGATACTCGGCTGTAATTGTGAATCTCGTCACCTGGCACTTCCGTGGCTGCGAAAATCCGCCTGCCCCTTGTGGATCTCGGGCCGTGCGAGATTGTTCCCGTGTTCCCCACCCTCAAATCCCCCCAGGGACCCCAAATCGACAATTCGACCCCCTCCTCCTCCTCCTCCTCCTCCTCCTCCTCCTCCTCCTCCTCCTCCTCCTCCTCCTTCTCCTCCTCCTCCTCCTCCTCCTCTTTTCCGCACTCTCCTTCTCATAGATTCGTCGCCCTCCCTGTTGCTCTCCTCCAAGTGCTCCTTCCGCAGATTTGGTACGTGTAGCGCAGATGCAGAGTCCATCTCCAAAGTAATCACCCGAACGGGCTTCACTTGAAGGGTTCTTAAGGCGTCGGCGGACGTGGCGCAAGCTTGCAGAATCGGCCCCCAGTGGGCGCGCAGGGCCGCGGCCAGCCCAGCGGGGTCGCTCACCACTCCTGGCGATGCTGGGGGCCGCGGCGGGGCGGCAGCAGCCCCTGCGGAGGGCTGGCCCGTTGAGCGGCTCGTTGGCTGTCGGATTCCCGCCAGAATCTGGACGCTCTGGAACGATGACGATGACGACGACGACGACGATGACGATGACGATGCCATCGTCATCGTTTTCGTCGTCGCCAGCGTCGTCTTCAGCGCCATCGTCATCGCCAGCGCCATAAGGCCAGAGCTGGGCCTTCTGGGCTGCTCGCACAGCCCTGCTTTTTCCAAAGGGCGCCGCATGCCTGGGCGCCGCGCTGCAGCGCCGTGGATGCGCTCGCCATGGCGGCCCAGCGGTCCCGGCCGAGCACGGACGAGGCCGCCGCGCGGACCGCTGCAGCGAGGCCCGGAAGCCAGCCTCGGAAGACGCGAGGAAATCTGCCAGCACTGCGGCTGACTTGCCGTCGCTCGGACGTCCATTTCCCGTGCATTTGTCGGTTTCGAGCGTGTTTTTGTTGCTCGATGGTCCAAGCGATACCAGGGGAGCGGACCCGAAAGCCTGAGGCAGAACATCCCGACGATCCGCCGCCTCACTGGGCGGCCGCCTCCTTGGCCCGAGTGCGCTCGGCCGGGGCTCGCAGTCGATCGTCGTCGACGAGCCGGGTCTTGCTTGCAGCGTCGGGGCCAGGAGGGGCGAGAAGCACCCACTGGGGCAATGCCCTGCACGGTGCGACAGCAGCATTGCCTTCAACCGTATTTCTGCAATGAGGGTGGAGGCCTTCTCTGATTCGCTCGAGAGCGCTCTCTCCTGAGGCTCCGAGCTTCGCAAGACACATATTGCCAAGCAAGTGACATCGACGACCGGTGTACGCTCCACATCAGGTACAAACAACCAGTGGTTCTTTTTTAGACTGGCTCAGAGCAGCAAAGCCCAACCTGTGTCGTCGACCAGACTCGGCGCCATCGAGGCGCCTCGGGGCCGTGGGGGCGCCCACGCAACCATTCATGGGCAAGGCTTCGCCGTCGAAGGAAGCCAGATAACATTTGCTGCACCTGACCCCGCACCCCTCCCCGAGCTTCTCCCATGCATGCCAGTCGGGCGGTGGCTGCACTCGGGGGCGACGGGCCTGGCGCGGCTGGCGCGCGAACTCCAGCTTCGAGGACAGCGGGAGCACAGCACCAAACATCGACTCTTGAGAGGAGGAGGAGGACAAGGTGGAGGAGGAGGAGGAGGAGGAGGAGGAAGGAAGGAAAAAAGGAAGGAAGGAAGGAAGGAAGGGGTGCGCCCTGAGCAGAATTCCGAAGCTGATCCTGCCGTGGCGACGAGGGCCTCCCAGGAGGCAGGGCGAAAACGACGCAAGGGCAGCGACATCCGTAGCTTACCCCTCTGGCTCAAGTCAGTTGGGCCCGAGTTTCAAACCGAGCAGGCCTTAATGCTGGACTCACCACGCAATTTGTGAGTAAGCTCCGAGACCAGAAAGCAAGCTTCGATCCTCTCTCGCACCAAGACAGCCGAAGAGGCCCCCAAGACGGCCCAAGAGCACCCCAGTAGAACCACAAGGCGACCGCGAGAGGCTCGAAAGACAAGACAGCTTCTGGAAGGGCCAAGCGGTGCAAGAGCGCGCGACGACGGCCCAAGACGCCCCAAGTAGGCCCCGAAAGGCCCCAAAGGAGCCCCCGAGAGGCCCCGAAATGCCCTCAAGAACCTCCTGGGCACGTCCCCCTACAGGCGGATTTTGGACGAAAAATGAAAAATACTCCAACAAATATCCACAAAATGCATAAACAAAGAACTTGAAAAATCGCCCCAACCGATTTTTTGACCATTTTTGAAGATTCTTCCTGTAGGGGGCCAGGCTTAGGTTGTTCTCATCGAACTTAAGGACCACATCCCAGAAATAACTTCGAGCACCCGGAAAAGTGTCGAAAGAGTGTCGAAACACTGTCGAAATAGTGTCGGACGAGTGTCCCCCAGGGCCCGACACGTGAAAACCCATCGAGTTTCCGTACTCTTTTGGTGCTCCAAATTCTTTCTGGAGGTCAAGGCTAAAGTAGGTTGGAACATCACAAGGCCAGGCCCGACTCGACCCCTGGCGGCCCCGAAGCGTCCCCGAGAGCCCCACGAGAGAGGCCTCCGGCAAGCCTCTGATAAGAGGCCGCGCGCCGGCGCCGTGCGGCGTGTCGCTCCGCCGCCGCCGCCGCCGACGCCGACGCCGCCGACGCCGCCGACGCCGACGACGACGACGACGCCGACGACGACGACGACGCCGCCGACGACGACGACCACCACCACGACGACGACGATGACGCCGCCGCCGCCGCCGACGACGACGACGACGACGAGGACGACGACGACCACAACCACGACGACGCCGACGACGACGACGACGACGCTGACGACGACGACGACGCCGACGACGACGAATGGGCCTGCCACGTGAAGTCGGCGCCGAGCTTCTTCGAGGGCGAGCCTCCGACGCTCACCGCCGGGGGCTGGTCCGCCATGGTGGCCGCGGCGGGTGCCAGCGGAAGGGGCAGCTCGCCATCGCTCGGGCGTCCACTCCCCGTGCATCTTTCGGTTCCGTGTGTGTATGTGTGTGGATGTGTTTGTGTGTGTGTTTGTGTTTGTGTGTGTATGTGTGTTGGCGTGTTTGCGTGCGTACGTGCGTGCGTGCATGCGTGCATGCGTGCGTGCGTGGGTGTGGGTGCGTGCGTGGGTGTGGGTGCGTGGGTGTGGATGCGTGCGTGCGTGCGTGTGTGCGTGCGTGCGTTCGTGAGTGTGTGCGTGCGTGCGTGCGTGCGTGCGTGCGAGCGTGTGTATGTATGTGTGTGTTGTGTGTATTGTGTGTATTGTGCATTTTGTGTGTGATGTATGTGGGTGTGGGTGTGGATGTGAGTGTGTGCGCTTTGTGTGTTATGTGTGTGTTGAGTGTGTTGTGTGTGTGTTGTGTGTTGTGTGTTGTGTGTTGTGTGTTGTGTGTTGTGTGCGGTGTGTTGTGTGTGTTGTGTGTTGTGTGTTGTGTGCGTGCTGAGTGTGTGTGTGTGTGTGTTGTGGTGTTGTGTGTGGGGGGGTATGTGGGTGTGTGGGTGGGTGGGTGGGTGGGTGGGTGGGTGAGAGGATGTGGGTGTGGGTGTGGGTGTATTTGTTTCGCGAGTTTATCTGGGATGCTCCTCGATGGCCCTCGCCGAGAAAAACAAGGCACACGCCCGAGCGATGAGAGGATGTGGGTGTGGGTGTGGGTGTATTTGTTTCGCGAGTTTATCTGGGATGCTCCTCGATGGCCCTCGCCGAGAAAAACAAGGCACACGCCCGAGCGATGATCAAGGCAGAGAGCGCGCGCGCGAGAGGGCCTGGGGCTCGAGCCCGAGCCTCAGCCTCGGCCGTGCGCGGGTGGCCTGGCGGCGCGCGCGCTCCTGGTGATGATCGTCGGCGTCAGCGTCGGCGTCGTCGTCGTCGGAGTCGGCGTCGTCGTCGTCGTCGGCGTCGTCGGCGTCGTCGGCGTCGTCATCGTCGTCTCCTCCCTCCTCCCCTTAGAGTCGGGGACGCACTGACCCAGGTCTGTGCAAAGCCGGGTCAGTCAAGCGTTGCGGCATCCAGCGAGATCCTGCAGGATCCTGCGCGCAAGCCTGGGTCAATGCGCCCCCGGCTCTGCAGGAGCCTGCAGGACCTGGCGCTCTGGCTGACCCCCGTGTGCATTCACCCCCGTCTCAAGACTCCCGATAGAAGGCGGCGGGGCTTCCCAGAAGCCCTCCGGCCTTCTGAGAAGCCGCCCGCGTCTTCGGAGGAGGCTCCGAGGGCTTCTCAGAAGGCCAGAGGCCTGACTACCTACCAGACCACCCCAACCCAACCCGAAGACCCGAATTTCGGGTTGGGGGGGTACGGGCTTCATATGTGTTCTTCAATGTTCCCCGACCCCCTGGAGGGCAAATCGGGGCCTTCGGGTTGGGTTGGGGTGGCTTGGTGGGCGGTGAAGGCCTGCCGAGCACCCCGAGGAGGCCCGCCCCCCGTGCCTTCCCCCCCGAAGGCGCACCGCCGCAAGGAGCACGAGCGGGGGCGCCAGTGGCAGCAGGGAGGGGGGGGGGACTGAAGAGCGCCGGTGCGAGGCGAGGACTTGTTCCTACCCGCCGCCTGGGGGACCGACGCCCTGGGTCCCCATTCTTTTAGGGGGGGGAGGGGGGCCGGTGGACAGGAAGACTCGGGGGGCCCAGGGCGGGCCGAGCAGAGCCACGCCCCCCCCCGCCTGCCGAGGCCCTGCAGGATCGATGCCCGGGGGCAGTGGTCACGGGCAGGGCCCCGCCGCGGGAGCGGGGCGCTGAGCGCGGAGCGAGCAGGCAGACCAGCGCAGGTGTGGCAGGGTGTCGGGACATCCTCCGCCTCCGCCTCCTCCTCCTCCTCTCCTCCTCCCCCTCCTCCTCCACCTCCACCTGCTCCTCCTCCTCCTCATCCTCCTCCTCCTCCTCCTCATCCTCCTCTCCTCCTCTCCTCCATCCTCCCCTCGTCCTCCTCCTCTGCCTCCTCTCCTCCTCCTCCTCCCTCCTCCGCCTCCTCCTCCTCCTCCTCCTCCTCTCCTCCCCTCCTCCTCCTCATCCTCCTCCTCCTCCTCCTCCTCCTCCTCCTCCTCCTCCTCCTCCTCCTCCTCCTCCTCCTCCTCCTCCTCCTCCTCTTCCTCTTCCTCCTCCTCCTCCGTGGGGGAGGAGCGGCCAATGCGGCTGGGTGGATCTTGGGAGGTACCTCACGAGCAGCCCGCGGCGCCGTGGACGGCTGGCAAGCTGCGGCCGCCCCAAGACCTGCTAGGCGTGGCACGGTGGGCACATGGGCACGACGTCCAGAGGAGCCCCCAGCGGGGTTCACAGCCTGGCCTAGACCACTCCCCCATGCGGAATGAAGCATGACAGCGCGCGCGAGCGAGGATCAAACAGGACGGTGGGAGCATGCGCAAGTAGCACCAAAATTGGTGTAGACGAATGCCGCAGGGCTGTGGGCCACCATTCACCCCGATGATCCGGTGCGTCTGGTACCGGTTCGATCGGTAGACTTGGTAGTCACACACTAACCATGGATGCTGCCATGTATGCCGTCGAGTAGAAATTCATGGCCCCTCTCCTCCCCCTCCTCCTTCTCCTACCCTACTCTTCCATCTCCCTTTTTTGTCTCCTCCTCCTCCTCCTCCCTCCTCCTCCTCCTCCTCCTCCTCCTCCTCCTCCTCCTCCTCCTCCTCCTCCTCCTCCTCCTCCTCCTCATCGTCCTCCTGGGGCCCTCTACGGGGTAGTCCTACCTTGCTTTTCGACCACCTTCTCCGCCAGAGACGGGGAGGACTACGCAATGCTGGCCTTAGCTGGGATATCCTCAGCTCTTACAGTGTGCTGGCGGATAGCGAGGCGACATTGAGCTGCTGCACCCGTCAGCACAAAGCAGTCTCAGTGGCGAACCCGCGCGCCCACATGTGGCGGCGTGTTCATGCGAGAGGAGACTTCTCGGCGCGCCTCCTCAAGCAAGTGAATAGCCACTGCAGCATGCGGCATGTCAGGGATGGCGTTCTCTCTCACTTTGAGCTCGAAGGTAACCAGACAACGGACCACTTCGCTAAAATTTGGGCCAGCCACGGTGCGGCGTCTGAGTCGGATGCGTTTTTTCCCAAAGGGTTGCCTTGAGGTGGCTTCGCTGGCTTGCAGGTACGGAACTCGTATGACCACGCGAGTTGCTGATAAGAATATCGAGGACCATCGAAGCCTAGATTCGATCAGGATCCTGGATTCAAGTTCAATTGCGGACAACTTCTCGGCTGACCTCATCGCCGAAGCCTACCATAACTCCGAGGTCCCACCCGAACACCCATGCCCCCCTCCTCTTCCTTCTGCTGACCAGCCTGCTGCTCCTGCTGCTGCCAGGGAGGAGGTGGAGGCCGAGGGTTCGGAGGTGGCGGAGGTCGAGGATGCCGAAGTTTTTGAGGACGAAGGTTTTAGCCTGGATGAGTTTCGGCCCTGGCGTGTTAAGAACCACTCTGTCCTTCCACAGTGAGCCTTGCAAGGGGTCCCAAGCGGCCCAGAGGGGGCAAAGGGCAGCCGGTTAGGAAGTTTCGCGACATAGCGTAGGGGAACAATTAATGGACACTCTCCCGCTGCCCAAAACTCAAAGTTGGCATGCGCGGGGGAGATTGACAACTCATCAGACCCACCGCCAACTTTGAACATTGGGGGGAGGGGGAGGCATTGACCGATGAATCTGGCATGCGTGTTAGCTGTTTTTTTCCCGAGGCCGATATGGCACCCAGATGACCCATCTGCGGCCCTGGATGAGCCGAGATCCCCGTCCGAAGCCACCCGTGCTCGCTGGGCCGCGCACTTCGGAGTGGTCCCGAAGGGGGCAATCGGGCTCCTGGCAGCCTGTCTCCACTTCTGGCGGACAGGTGCCGCCCTCCGCCGCGAGATCCAGGCTCGCTTGGAAAGCCTCTGGACTCGAAGACAGAGCACAAGCCGCAGCCCTGGAGAGCAAGATAGGCGGAGGAGAAGAGGGAGGAGGAGGAGGAGGAGGAGGAGGAGGAGGAGGAGGAGGAGGAGGAGGGAGGAGGAGAAGGAGAGGGAGGAGGAGGAGACGAGGAGAGGGAGGAGGAGGAGGAGGAGGAGGAGGAGGAGAGGAGAAAACAGGGAGGGGGGTAGGGGCGGAGGAGGAGTGAGAGGATGAGGATGAGGAACAGAAAAAGGTTGAGGAGAGGGGGAGGAGGAAAGGAGGAGGAGAAGGAGGAAGAGGAAGGAGGGAGGAGAAGGAGAAGGGGAGGAGGAGGAGGGGGAGGACGAGGAGGAAGAGGAGGAGGAGGAGGAGGGAGGGGGAGAGAAGGAGGAGGAGAGGAAAAGGAGGAGGAGGAAGAGGAGGAGGAAGAGGGAGGCGGAGAGGAGGAGGGAAAAGGACGGAAGGAGGAGAGGAGAGGAGGAGGTGGACGAGGAGGAAGGAGGAGGAGGAGGAGGAGGAGAGAGGGAGGAGGAGGAGGAGGAGGAGGAGGAGGAGGAGGAGGAGGAGGAAAAGGAGGAGGAGGAGGAGGAGGAGGAGGAGGAGAGGCAGAAGGAGGAGGAGGAGGAGGAGGAGGAGGAGGAGGAGGAGGAGAGAAGAAGGAGGAAAGGGAGGAGGAGGAGGAGGACGAGAAGGAGAAGAAGGGGGAGGAGGAGGAGCAGGCCAGAGCCGAGGCAAGAGCCAGGCGTGCGCGGAACGCGGGAGGGTCAGCAGGTGAGGGAGGTTTCGAGTCACGGCTTGGGTGATGAGGTCGCCCCGTTGGGGGCTCGATGTAGGGGACGGAACCTCACAGAGGGCCTAACAAAAGCCCCCTTGGATGGGCGATCCCACTCAGTTTGTCCTCTCTCCCACCTTGACCTTTGTCCCTTTCTGGGCACTGAACCTCCTCGTCCCCCTGCTCCTCATAGGGTCGCCGTCGTCACCGCTGCCGTCACCAGCGCAGCCGCAACCCCCACCCAAGGGCCCGCCTGAACTGCCCGGGCGCCGCGGCGCCTGACGCCAGCGTCGGCGTCGGCGTCGGCGCTGGCGTGGGAGCGCCTGGCGTCGTCGTCGTCGTCGTCGTCGACGTCGTCGTCGTCGTCGACGTCGTCGTCATCGTCGTCGTCATAGCCGTGGTCGTCGTCGCCGTCGCCGTCATCTTCGTCGTCGTCGTCGTGGTTGTGGTCGTCGTCGTCGTCGTCGTCGTCGTCGTCGTCGTCGTCGTCGTCGTCGTCGTCGTCGTGATTGTGATCGTCGTCGTCGGATCCGCCCCCTCCAAACCCTCTCCCCCCTCCCCCTCCTCCGTCGCAGGCAAAGGCTACCCTGGTCGGCCTGGGGGGACCGCTGTTCCCCAGACATCTCCCGGGATGCGTTCCTACCAGAATCCCACGAGCCCTGTAGGGCGTAGGTGGTTTAGCGCGCTTCCTCTTGCAACCTCCTTATCCCCTTCGGGGATGGGTTCATTACTGCTCTTTTAATATTTGGATGCCCGAAATGGGCACGGAAAGAATGGGTACAATGCCCAACAACGCATGTTGTCCCAAACCAACAGCGGCCGCTGTTAGGTAGGCGGCCTTCTGTCTCGAATGGACACAGGCCGCGGCGGCGTGGACAGCGAGTCCTGTTCAGAATGAACCAAAACCGCTGTTGGGCATTGTACCCATTCTTTCCGTGCCCAGTTCGTTCGTGCAGATAGTACACACCGACTCCCACGCCCAACCTGAGAAAAACCCGGGCCAATGACAAAACCCCCGTCACCCCTGTCAAAACAAATGCATCGCACACATTGCCGCAAAAAACGGACCGGCGCGAGGGCTTCTGAGAAGCCCCGCCGCCTTCTGAGAAGGCCTGCCCCTTCTCACTCCCCCCTCGCTCGCCGCTGGAGCAGAGAATCCAGCCGTGGCGACGAGGGCCTCCCAGGAGGCCCCCGAAAAACGCAAAAAACGAGACAAGAGCAGCGGCACTGGCAATCACCCCATCTCCTCCTCTGACGGCTGGGCCCTCCACCCCCCGTGGCGCGGCCAGGGGGAGGTCGTCATCGTCGTCGTCGTCGTCGCCATCGTCGTCGTCGTTGTGGTCGTCGTCGTCGTCGTCGCCGCAGCCGTCGTCGTCGTCGTCGTCGTCGTCGCCGTCGTCATCGTCGTCGTCGTCGTCGTCGTCCTCGTCGTCGTCGTCGTGGTGGTGATTGTGATCGTCGTGGCTGTGGTCGTCATCGTCCCCGTCGTCGCCGTCGCCGTCGCCGTCGTCGTCATCGCCGTCGTCGCCGTCGCCGCCGCCGTTGTCGTTGTCGTCGTCGTCGCCGCCGCCGCCGTCGCCGCCGCCGTTGTCGTCGTCGTCGTGGCTGTGGTCGTCGTCCTGGTTGTGGTCTTCGTCGTCGTTGTGGTCTTCGTCGTCGTCGCCGTCGTCCTGGTTGTGGTCTTCGTCGTCGCCGCCGCCGCCGCAAACGCCAGCGCGCGCGGGCCGGGCCTTCTCGGCCGCGAAGCCGCTCGGAGCCCTCGGCGACGTGCGGCGCCGGCGCACCTGGCGCCGAGGGGCGCACAGGACCGCCTCGGGCTCCAGGGGTCGAGCATCGAGGGCCCCTCCTCCTGCCCCTCCTCCTCCTCCTCCTCCTCCTCCTCCTCCTCCTTCTCCTCCTCCTCCGCCCCTCCTTCTCCTCCTCCTCCTCCTGCTCTTCCTCCTCCTCCTCGTCCTCCTCCTCCTCTTCCTCCTTCTCCTCCTCCTCCGCCTCCTTCCTCCCTCTCCTCCTGCCCCTCTCCTCCTCACTCCTCTCCTCCTTTCTCCCCCCCCTCCTTCTCCCCTCCTATCTTCCTCTTCTCCTCCTCTTCTCTCCTTCCTCCTCTCCTCTCTCTCCCCTTCCTCCTCCTCCTCCTCCTCCTCTCCACCTCCTCCTCCTCCTCTTCCATTTCCTCCTCCTCCTCCTCCTCCTCTCCTCCTCCCTCCTCCTCCTCTCCTCCTCCTCCTCCTGCACCCCTTCCCTATCGATCATCGAGAACCGAGCATCGAGCACCGATCGATGCTCGACGCTGGATCCTCCACTCGTGACGGTCGCTTCTCGAGAACCGAGCATCGAGGCTCGAGCTTTGGGGGCCTTCCTGGACCTGCTGGGGTGCCCCTCGTCGCCACGGTTGGACTCGCCTCGAGGCTCTGCCCGGAACGAACATAGCTTTCATAACAGAGGCTGCACCACATCAATTCCATGTCATAGCTTGCACACATAGATTCCATAGTTTACACTGCACATCTTGCACAGCATAGCATGCAACACCTAGCCTGCGCAACATGTATTACAATACTACGCTTGCATCACATAGCTTGCACTAAATGTATTGCACGCCATAACTTGTAGCGCATATGTTGCACCACGTAGTTTGCACCACAAGCCTTAAACCACACACCAGATAGCTTACACCCAAGATATTGCTAGCTTTCACCATCCTGCCGACACATCAACAATGCAACAACCTACTGTTTGGGGCACGCGCTGGCAAACATCGCACGTTCGTGCGGCATCCCCTCAATTCCCCAAACAGCGCTTGCCCAAAGGTATTTTCGCTTGTGTCGCCGAAACAATTGGATAGGTGCGCCGAGGTTTCGCAACGCTGCCGCCGGTTGCCCCTCGTGGGAGAGGTTTCGCCACGTTGCCACCCATTGCCGCCCGCGGGCGCCGCGTGGGCGAATCGCGTGCTGGATAGGCATGCCTGGGTTGCGCCACGTTGCCGCCCGTGGCCGGTCGTGGGCGCATGCCATCCCAGTCACAGAGCTGACACCGCATAGGCGCAGCACGTAGATTGCACCACATGGCGAACACCACGTAGCTTGCACCATATGACTCTCACGACACAGCTTGCAACACATCGACTGCACCAAATACATTGCACCACACGGGTTGCACCACACATGTCGCGCACATTAGCTTGCGCCACATATGCTTTCACCACCTGGAGAGCACCACACAACATAAATCAATGTATGGAATGATCCACATAAAATACGGCGCATACGTTACACCTGACACGGATAGCACCACAGACATTGCTCCGCGTACATTGCGCCGCAATCGTTGGGCAACATACTGTACGACATAGAACCCACCAGATATCTCGCACCACATTATATTCGCCAGTGTGGACCCGAAACAATAAGCTATTGCACGGTGGCTGTGTCGGGTATGTGGTGTAAGCTATGTGGTGCAGCTGTTTTGAAGGACTTGGAGTTGTCAACTCCACTGCCCACTCACTCACCCCACCCTCCCACCCGCAGCCTGGTTTGCACAACCCATGCGGCGGCGACTGCGATGGCTGCTTGACCATGGCTGGCGCATGCGGCCGCGCTGGCGCGCGCAAGCTTGCGTGCAGAGCGACCAGCTGGTTTGGCACAACCGACGCGGCAGCGATGGCGATTACCCATGGCAACGTCCCAGCGCGTGTCAAAGGCCGCGCTGGCGCGCGGGCACTTCAATGCGGGTCGGTGGTTCGGGCGGACACAAAATCATGATGACGTTGACAACAGCGGCAACAATGACGATAGTAGCGATGATAGTGGCGATGATGACGATGACGACGGCAAGGCCAATGACGGCGCCGATGCTGGTAATGCCGACGACGATGACGACGGCCATGTGTCGCTGATGAACGTTTTGGAAGGGTTTCGACATGCGCGCGCGGCCGACGCGCGCGAGTAGCCCGCATGGCAGTGTTTGCCAGGGATCGTGCCCTCACAGCAAGCAAGCGCACAAGAGCGTTCGAATGGTTTCGGCATGCGCGCGCGAGATGCCCACGTGATCTCGTGTGAAGGGACTGTTGAAACAACGCATGGTGTTCTTGAGAATTCTGCAGAGCGCGCGCGCCGATTGTTTCGGAAAACGTGTTCAAAAACCATTGGTTGCTCATAGGTGCTCGACAACCTCAATCCTGAAACCCGTACCAAAACTGAGTTTAGAGAACGATTTCGACATGCGCTCGCGACGACGCGCGCGTGGACGTTGTCAACTTCTGTTGCAAAGAATAATTGGACCACTATCTGTTGTGATCAGCGAGTGCGTGCGCATAGTATTGTTTGAGAGGGGCGATCGTGGGGGGTCAAAAACAGGACTCCCTGGGATGGTATGAGTTCAACCGCAAAAAAACGATGAGACTGAATCATACGTACTTTGCAATGTCCCAGGGGGGTCAGATAATCCCGTGGAGGGGGGGTGGTAGAGTATATTCAGAACTGAGAAAAGACGATGGACAAGATACGTGGTGCAAGCTTGAGGCTCGAGACGGCAACGGAGCAGCAACGCGCGGCCATGTGGCGAGACGTCGCTGGAGCCACCCAGCGCTCGAGGCGGCAACGAGGCGGCAACGAGGCGGCAGTGCGGCGAAACCTCGCAGGAGCCACCCAGCGTACGAGACGGCTGCGAGGCGGCAACAGCGCGGCAACGTTGCGAAATCTTGCAAGACCCACCCAGCGCAGCGCACGAGGCGGCAACGAGGCTGCAACGAGGCGGCAGCGGACGGCAGCGCGGCGAAACCCCGCCAGAGCAACCCTGCGCTCGAGGCGGCAACGGGCGACAATGTGGCGATCAATCGCCAGACTCACCCCATGCACGAGGGGGCAGCGAAGCGGCAGCGGGCGAAACTGTGGCGAAACCTCGCCAGACCCACCCAGTGCACGAGGCGGCAACGAGGCGGCAACGGGCGGCAACTTGGCGAAACCTCGCCAGACCCACCCAGTGCACGAGGCAGTGACGAGGCGGCAACGGGCGACAACTTGGCGAAACCTCGCCAGACCCAAGCAGCGCAACGCAGCGCAGAAACACCCAGCACAACGCCACGCAACGAGGCGCAACCTCGAGCGCACGAGGCGGCAACGAGGCGGGAACGGGCGGCAACGTGGCGAAACCTCGCAGGACCCACCCAGCGCACGAGGCGGCAATGATTGGGGCCACTGGCAGCAATGTGGCGAAACATCGCCATACCCAGCCAGCTCACGAGGCGGCAGCGAGGCTGCAACAAGGCGGGCCCACCCAGCGCACGAGGCTGCAACGAGGCGGCAGTGGGCGGCAACGTGGCGAAACCTCGCCAGAGCCACCCAGCGCTCGAGGCGGCAACGAGGCCGCAACGAGGCAGCAACGAGGCGTCAACGTGGCGAAACCTCGCCAGACCCACCAAAAGTCTTACAAATTTTCTCCCCGCGCGCACTTGCTGAAACGACAGGAGAACCGCATGACTGTAGCAAGTTCGTCCACGACCCGCGCTCTCATCCCACCACACAGAGCACGAGGCGGCAACGAGGTGGCAACGTAGCGAAACATCGCTGGACCCACACAGAGCATGAGGCAGTAGTGAAGCTGCAACGGGACGGCTGAGGGCGGCCACGTGGCGAAACCTCGCCAGACCCACGCAGCGTACGAGGCGGCAACGAGGCTACAACGAGGCGGCAACGTGGCCAATCCTCGTCAGACACACCCAGCGCCCCAAGCGGCAACGAGGCGGCAACGAGGCGACAACGGGCGGCAACGTGGCTCAACCCCGCCAGACCCACCCAGCGCTCGAGGCGGCAACGAGGCGGCAACGGGCGGCAATGTGGCGAAACCTCGCAAGACCCACCCAGCGTATGAGACGTCTGCGAAGCGGCAACAACGCGGCAACGTTGCGAAACCTCGCAAGACCCAGCCAGCGCACGAGGCGGCAACGAGGCTGCAACGAGGCGGCAACGGACGGCAGCGTGGCGAAACCTTGCCGGACTCAGACGCACCCAATGCACGAGGCGGCAACGGGTTGCAACGAGGAGGCAACGAGGCGGCAACGGGCGACAATGTGGCGAAACCTCGCATGACCCACCCAGCGCACGAGGCGGCTACGAAGTAGCAACGTGGCGAAACGCCGCCGGTCCCACCCAGCGCACGAGGCGACAGCGAGGAAGCAACGAGGCGGCAGTGGGCGGCAACGTGGCAAAACGAGGCGACAACGAGGCGGCAACGTGGCAAAACCTCGCCAGACCCAACCACCTCACGAGGCGGCAACGAGACGACAACGGGCGGCAATGTGGCGAAACCTCGCCAGACCAACCCAGCGCACGGTGCGGGAATGGTGCGGCAACGGGCGGCAACGTGGCGAAACCTCGCAAGACCCACCCGGCGCACCAGGCGGCAACGAGGCGGCCACCTCGCCGGACCCACCCAGCGCACGAGGCGGCAACGAGGCGGCAACGGGCGGCAGTGTGGCGAAGCCTCGCAGGACCCACCCGGCGCACGAGGCGGCGACGGGGCCGCCACGAGGCGGCAGCGGACGAAACCGTGGATGAAGCCCGCCAGACCCACCAATTCCTTTGGAGACAATTGCTGGCCATCGCTCGGACGTCCATATCCTGTGTTTTTGTTCGGTGTCGTGCGCGTTTTTCGCCAGATGATCAGGGATGCTCCTCGATGGTTCTCGCCGAAGGAAGAAATGCACACGTCCGAGCGATGCCAAGATAAAAACTCCCGAAGTGCAAACACTTTCTTTGGCGAAAGAGCCAAACAAAGTGTTCAGTTGTCCAACGAACATATTGCAAACTGTCTCCCCTCGTGCACCTGGTGAAACCATCGGGAAACCAAAAGGCTACGTAGCAATGTCGCCCAGGACCCGCGCATTCCCATTTCACCACGTTTTGCACCCACGTCGATGTCGCACGCGACCAGTGCACGAACCCGTATCGACGAACACCATGCGGGCCACACGCGCGCGCCGACACGCGCGCGAGCCAAATCCCTCCAGACGGTTGGTTCTCAAGTCAGTTCAAGATGGAACTGCTCGATACATGCGTAGAACCAGAATTGATCAACCAAAAAGCCCGCAGGATTCTTTGAACATCTCCGCGCGCGCACGTCATCTTCACCTTGATCAGCGCCACCGCATCACCGCTGCGATCGTCATCGCCAATCGCCGCCATTGCCGCCATCATCAGCAACATCGCCTTCACCATTGACACATTGACAGCATCATCGTCGTCGTCACCAGCATCGGCGCCGTCATTGGCCTTGCCGTCGTCATCGTCAGCATCGCCGCCACCATCGCTATGATCATCATCGTGGCCGCCGTTGTCGACGTCATCATGATATAGCGCCCGCCCGAACCACCGACCCGCACTGAGCTGCCCGCGCGCCAACGCGGCCCTGGAGACGCGCTGGGAAGTTCTCACCGGTAAGCGCCATCACGGCCGCGTCAGCTGTGCCGAATCGTCGCTCTGCGCGCGAGCGTGCGCGCGCCAATACGGCCGTGGAGGCTCGCTGGCAAGTTCGAATCGTGGACGATTAGGTTTGCCGAGCAAGCTGCGGGTGGGAGGATAAGTTGACAACCCATTGCAGCCAGAAGCATGATCAAAAAACTCATGATTCAAGGAAGCTGGGTCCAGCTCTCCAGAAGTTTCCGGCAACAAGCCTCGGCCGATGTCTGTCCGTGACGATGGCGGGACGAACGCGCTCAGGAAACTGGGCCAGCCTTCCGGCAAGTTGGTTAAGAAATGCTGGCCCAGCTTGTCGGAAGGAGGCTTCTGCATCAGATGCTCGACCGTAGTAGCGAAGTTGGTTGCACCCGTAGGCTGCAGCACAGATACTGCTCCACCTAGCTCGCACCACATCGACTGCACCGCATAAGTCCACCACGTAGCATACTCCAGATTTCGTAATAAAGGGAGGGGGGTCTCATTTCGGGGGGGGGGTCTCTTCCAGGCTATCTTGGAGGGCCTGGGGGGTCTGGGGACGATGTTTTGGAGGGTTCTCCCACGGGGACGGTCTGAAATGGCTTGTCAAGAGGGTCCAGACCCCTCCCTTTTATTACGAAATCTGGAGTACGCTTCATCTGTGCAGTGACCTAATGTTTGGGGTCCACGCTGGCAAACATCCGAGCAACCACATGGAACAGCTGCACGGACGGAGGGCGGTTCCTGATCAACTCGGAGCTCTCGCTCGAGCCTTCCTGCCTGGAGTGCCGGAGAAGTGCACGGACGCTCTCTGGACACGTCCGTGGACTTTGCGATCCTACCTCGTCGCAGTCCTCCTCCTCCTCCTCCTCCTCCTCCTCCTCCTCCTCCTCCTTCTCCTCCTCCTCCTCCACCTACTCCTCCTCCGCCCCTCCTCCTCAACCTCCTCCTTCTCCTCCTCATTTTCCTCCTCCTCCTCCTCCTCCTCCCCTCCTCCTCCTCCTCCTCCTCCTCCTCCTCCTCATCCTCCTCGCCATCCTTCTCTTCCCTCTCCTCCTCCTTCCCCTCCCTCTCCCAAGTGCTCCCCCAAGCGGCTCCACAACGGCTGGGGGAACACGCAGTCCAACAGCCTGGCCAGCCTTCGGCCCAAGAAGTGGCCGCACGGGCGCTTCCAAAGGGCCTGGGGACAGCAGCGATTCGCCGTGGCCGTCCTCGACGACAGCCAGCCTCATCCTCAGTCTCATCTTATCCTCGCTCCAATCGTCATGACCCTCGCCATCACCATGCCCATTATCACTGTGGATGCCATGACAATGGACACTCGAACAGTCCTACCATCGAAGTAAAAATGTGTTTTGTCGCAAAAATGTCCTGGCAATGCTCAACACCTGTTTTTTTTTTACATTCGAAAGCAGTTTTAACACACGTTCTGGACATCTGGGAACTATTTGACAACATGCTTCCTCTCCATGGATCGTCCTCCACAAAACCATCAACACGAGCACGCCTGCCCCCCTCTCCTCCCCCCCGCGCGGCACTGGGCCCCATGCTGCGCTCCCACGACTTGGGCTGGAACTCCTCCGCCGCGGGCATCTCCTCCGCGCTGCTAGACGCGCCGAGCACCCTCATGTACCACACGAGGTTCACGCCTGCTCCCCACCCCACGTCGGCTCGTGCTTCTGAGCATCGTTTGACCGATCCCTGTCCCCACAGGCGTGGCCTGGGCTCCACTGGCCGATATACCCCCCGTTGGATTGGGGATGTGGGCTGTTTCCTCCGAGTCTCGAGGGGCACATCCCCGACTAGGGCGGTGGGATGGTGGGGATCTGGACGGGGATGGAGAAGGGCACGGGGATCGGACGAACGATGCTGCGCTTCTGGGTCTCCTTCCCCCTCCTCGCTGCCCTCTGCACCGCTGAGCTTCCTCCGCCGCTGCTGTCGGACCCCCCCCCCTCTGCCTCCTCGCTCGCTCCCTGCGCCACCCTCCTCGGGCCCTCGGCGTGCGCTGCCTCGTCGTGGCCCTCCGACCTTCGCTGCCCCTCCCCATCTAATCTCTGCAGACTGCGGCCTCTTGGGCGCAGCCAACCCTTCACCCTTGACCCTCCTCCTCCGTCTCCTGGTTTGTCACAAAAACACACGCACACACACACACAAAACAAAAACAAAAAGAAAAAAAAAAACGGTTGTCACAAAAAGCACCGGCTGTCACAAAAAAACAACTGTCACAAAAAACCGGTTGTCACAAAAAAAAAAAACGGTTGCCACAAAAAACCGGGTGTGACAACCCGTAGCTGGCGCCGACCGCGACGACCAGGCCCGCCAGCCAGCCGAGCGCCTCCGAGGGCGCCTCCGCAAAGGGCGCGAGGTCGAGGCTCCCCGCGGCGCGGCTCCGGGCGATAGTGGCGAAGCTCAGCTGGCCCATGACCGAGGAGGTGGATGAAGATCTGCCGGACATGACCCGCCCTGCGCGAGAACACGTACACACACCCGTCGGAGAGTCCGCTGAGGAGGGCGAGGGCGTGGCCGACGGGGCTGGCGTGCCCATCGGAGCCTTGGCTCGGCGAGGGGCCGAAGACTGCCTCGGGCCGCGAGATAAGCATCGCGCCAGACAGCGCCATCACCACCGCGGCAAAATGCGGCCACCGCACCGCCTCGCCCAAGAACGGGCGCCCGAGGGACGCGGCGAAGACCGTGCTGGTGCTGCTCCTCGCGGCGCAGTCGCCCAGCGGAGTGCCCAGCTGGACGGCCAGGAGCATCAGCACGGACGAGCCGGCGCCGAAGAGACCGATGCACAGGATCCACGCGGTGCCCCCGGCGGTGGGCGCTGGCGGCTCGGAGACCAGGAGCCACGCGAGCAGGAGCGCGAGGCCCACGGGGCAGGCGCTGGCCAGCGAGGCGAAGGCGGACCAGCCTCTCCGGGCGACGAGGCTGCAGAGCGCGAGCAGGGCGCTGGCCGGAAGGGCAGAGCCCAGCATCGCCAGCACCCCCAGGGGGCTCCACGGACATCGCCACGGGGCACCACGTGAGGAGGAGGGAGAGGAGGAGGGGGAGGAGGAGGAGGAGGAGGAGGAGGAGGAGGAGGAGGAGGAGGAGGAGGAGGAGGAGGAGGAGGAGGAGGAGGAGGAGGAGGAGGGAGGAGGTTTCACCAGATCGCCTCCGAGCGGTCGCTGCTGCGGCCTCATTGACCCAGATGTCTGCGGAGGGCGAAGCAAGAACGGAGGAGGAAGGGGAGAGAGTTGGAGAGGTAGAGAGTCCAGGAGAAAGAAGAATTGAAGGAGAAGGGGTCCCAGGATCACAAACCGCTCGACATCAGCCCCCAAACCCCGCCAAGAGTATGTTCTGAGCGGATTTTCATCCTGCATCGATCTCTGACGACAGTAGGAGCTCGACCACAAGAAACCGTCCACAAGAAACCCAACCCTGAGACCCCAGGACGTCCATTGATTTTTGGTGTGGGCACGTCACGCTTGCCATGGTAAAACCATCGAAACCCAAGAACCCCAGGGCACCCTGAAGGCAAGCAGGGCTTTTCTTGACATAGGTTTCCACTGTACCCGGGGCCCGAAAGCTTCTGAAAAACCATCGGGAGCGATTGGCTCGATCCTCGATCATGAGCTCCTCCTCTTCCTCCTGCTGCTTCTCCTCCTCGAAAAAAACCTGGTGCGATGTGCTCGATTTGCGATCATGTGCACCCGCTCCTCCTCCTCCTCCTCCTCCTCCTCCTCATCCTCCAACCTCCTGCCTCCTAATCCTCCCCCCTCCTCCTCATCCTTTCCTCCTCATTCCCTCCGCCTCCTCCTCCTCATCCTCATCCTCATCCTCATCCTCATCCTCATCCTCATCCTCATCCTCATCCTCATCCTCATCCTCATCCTCCTCCACCTCCTCACGACGACGACGATGACGACGACGCTCCGAAACCCTTGCACCGCTCTCCCCCAGGGCCTACGGCCACGACGGAGAAGAGCAGCACCGCCGACAGCGAAGAGCACCCGCCCCCCGCCGCGCCACCCAGGGCCCCGCCAGCGGGCGCCTGCGAGGGCGCGTCCCGCCGCCGACGACGCCGACGACGCCGACGACGCCGACGACGCCGACAACGACGACGACGACGACGACGACGACGACGACGACGACGACGACGACGACGACCCAGGCCAACGCCCACTGACGACCACGGTGAACAAACGAAAGTACGCACAGCGCCCTGAGGTCGGACGACTAGCGACAGACACCCGGCGACGAACGGCGAACGATGCGGGACGACGGCGACGGCGACCAACGACGTCGACCAACGACGGCGACGGCGACCAACGACGACGACCACGACCGCGACGACGACGGCCACAACCACGACGACATCGACCACAACCACGACGACGACAACGACGACGACGACGACGACGACGACGACGACACAACCACGACGACCACAACCACGACGACCACAACCACGACCACGACGACGACGACGACGACGACGACGACGACGACCCATCCCACGCCCACGACCGCGGCGAACGAACGAAAGTACGCACGGCGCACGGAGAAACATCGGACGAACAACGATGCACAACAGATGGCGGTGATGGCGCACCGAGGCGGGATGACGACGACGGCGACGGCGACGGCGACGATTGCGACGGCGGAGAGAGAGGCGAGGACCAGGAGGACAACGAGGATTAAGTCGGGCGTGTCCCCCTACAAGGGGATTTTCGACGAAAAATGAAAAATACGGAAAATCAGCGAAAATGGTCAAAAAACATGCTCAAAAAATAATCCCCCGACTACCTTTGGACCATTGTTTGATATCCCTCCTGTAGAGGGACGCGCCCGACTTACCAGGAGGAGGGCGACGACGAGGAAGCCTTGGCCTTCGCATGGCAGCCGTTGGCGCCAGGGCGCGGCGGCCCGCCGGAGCTCATGGCGGGCGGCGGCGCATCTGCTCGAGCAGGCGCCCCGAGGCCAGCAGCACCGGCGGCGCGGCTCGAGCGAGGGCGGCGCGCACGCCGGGCTCGTGCCAGGGCGGCTCCTAGCCATGACATCCACGCCCCCCCCCCCCCTCCGCCTCCGCCTCCGCCTCTGCCTCCCCTCAACCTCCTCCTCCTCCTCCTCCTCCTCCTCCTCCTCCTCCTCCTCCTCCTCCTCCTCAACCTCCTCCTCCTCCTCCGCCTCCTCCGCCTCCTCCTCCTCCGCCCTCCTCCTCCGGCCTCCTTCTCCTCCGCCTCTCCATTCCTCCTTCTCTGACGCCTCCCGCCTCCCCCATATCCATGTCCTCCCATTTACTCCTTCCATCCGCCTCCTCCTCCGCCTCCGCCTCCGCCTCCGCCTCCTCCTCCTCCGCCTCCTCCTCCTCCTCCTCCTCCTCCTCCTACTACTCCTCCACCTCCTCCTCCTCCCCTCCTCCTACCTCCTCTCCTCTCCTCCCCCTCCGCTCCTCCTCCTCCTCCTCTCCTCCTCCTCATCCTCTCCTCACCCTCTCCTCCTCCTCCTCCTCCTCTCCTCTCTCCTCCTCCCCCCTCCTCCTCCTCTCCCCTCCTCCTCCTCCTACTCCTCCTCCTCCTCCTCCTCCTCCTCCTCCTCGTCCTCCTCCTCCCTGCCTGGCGGCTCACGACACGCACGGGTGAGCAAAGGCGAGAGTGGACCTTCGGCCACGCAGCCTGCCGGCGGTTGTATGCACGGTCGGACCCGGGACAGGGGACAGCCTTCAGGAGCATGAGAGACCCTCCGCCGGCCCGAACTGAAGGACGTTCGAGGGTGCCCCCCCCCCCAGGACGCACAAGAACATCCAACAACCACGAAGAGCATCAGGGTACCCTCCCGGAACCGACCTTGATCTCATACCTCGGCCCGACTGTATGCGACAGCAGCGGCCTGCGATGCGACAGTAGTGGCGCACCCGAGATCCCTCTGGCGAAGGGACGCTGTAGCGTGTGACCGCGCTCTGGCTTCTGACGCCGCGCAGATCGCCCAAGCTCGAGCGACTGCGGCTTTCTGGTAGCGCGGGTCGCTCGACGTGGGCCGATTCCCAGGCCAACGGCCGTGCTCGTATTCGAACGCACGCGCCGTGGTCGCCGCCGCGTCGACGCAGCGCGAGCCTGCCGCAGGCGGGTGCACGACGCAAGCAGACTGGGCGTGGATGCGCCAGGGGATGCGCTTTGCTGGAGGCCGCGGCCGCTCGGGAGCGCCCCCGCACGCTCCGAGGCGGCTCCCGGGCCGAGTGCTCGTCCCTGGCGGCGCGCAGGACACGAGCCTTCGAGGGGGCTGCTGCTGCTCGACCTCGGCGCGCGCTCTGCCTGTCGGCCCCCCCTGGGGGGGCCACCGTCGGGCCCCATGGGCACTCCGCAGGGGTCGGCGGCGAGGAAGAGCCCCCGGGGGAGGCGGCGAGGCCTCCGGGGCCCGCGGGTGGACAGAGCCACGCGTCGCATGCCCAGGGCAGGGGTGGGGGGCGAGGGGCCTCCTGAGATGGCAGGGGCGCTCTAAGATGGGGGGGCGGCCTTCTGAGATGGCAGGGGCGAGGGGGGGGGCCCTCTGAGATGGCAGGGGCGAGGGGGGGGGGGGGCCTTCTGAGATGGCAGGGGCGGCCTTGGAAGCCCTCCCACCTCCCAAGAGAAGCATCTCTTGGGAGGCCCCTGCCCCCTCGCCCCCTCGTGGGTGCCGCCGACGTGTCCCGAGGGTCCCCTCGAGGACTCCCTCGGTTACACGCTGGCCGGCGGCTGGGACCCATGCTCTGCGGCAGGGCGGGAACTGGGAACTGGGAGCCGGACAGGCGCGGGGCGTCACGGCAAGGAGGCACCACTGCCCCTTGGGCTTCAGGCCCCTGGACGCTCGATCGAGCATCCCACGACGCTCAGGAGTGAGACTGGCCGTGGAACACACTCTGCCGAGGCCCCGAGCCCGACTCGGCGAGCGGGGGGGCGAGAAACCAGGCCAGCCACCCAGCCGGGCGCCCCGTCGCCCCTCGCGGGGCGAGGAGGGCCCTCCCCCCACTGGACAGCGCCGCCCGGCCGCGTCCCGTCGGCCACGGCATTGGTGGCAGGCTCTGGCACCGCAGCCCAGTACGGCTGCCGCTGGAACCGACGACCCGCTCATCCGACGTGAGAGCTGTTCAAAATGTGGCCCCCGGGGAGACAAAATTTGATCTCGGGTCGATGTTTGACGGTCCCAGGGGCTGGAAACAGTCCCTGGAAGAGGAAATCGAAGAGCAACGAATAGCAACGACCAGGGCTGCAAAATTCCCCTGGCGAAGAAGCCAATCCAGTCTCCGGACGTGGAAACGACCCAAAAGACCGCTCAATGCACCAGAACTCGTTAGGGGCTCCGCAGTGCCCCTGACAGCTCCGCCAGAGAACGTTGGAACAGGCTCGGCACGCATTTGCGCGACTCGAATTTTACGCAGGAAGTGAACCATGCACGCGGCGCGGACACGAGGGCAAGGGCAAAGGAAGCAGGAGAAACTATCATGTTTAACAGCTGTTAATGGTTCCCAGCGCCACGCGGGGAAGTCCAGACAGGGGGCTGCGCGACTGCGCCCCGAACTCGCGATGCCCGGGCCGGCTCAGGGTAACTGCATGCGAATGCCAGTGAGGCCGTCGGTGGAGCTCCCTATGGGGCCACGAAGCGTGTGAGGGGCGTGCCAAAGTGGACCCAGGTACGCGTGCGAGCCATGCCCCTGGGGCCTTCGGTGGAGCTCCCGATGGGGACACGAAGCGTGAAAGGGGTCTGCCAAAGTGGGCACGAGTACGCATGGGAGCTCTGCCACTGGGGCTGGAGCACGAAGCGTGCAAGAGGTGTGCCAAAATGGACCCCAGTACGCATGCGAACCCTACCGCTGGGGCCCTCGGTGGAACTCCGCCATGAAACGTGTGGAGGGTGTGCCAAAATGGACCCGGGTACGCGTGCGAACCCTGCCACTGGGGTCTTCGGTGGAGCTTCCTGTGGGGCCACGAGGCGTGAAAGGGGTTGGGCCAAAGTGGGCACGAGTATGCATGCGAACTCTGCCACTGGGGCCCCTGGTGGAACTCCCTATGGGAGCACGAAACGTGTAAGGGGTGTGCCAAAATGGACCCAAGTACGCATGCAAACCCTGCCACTGGGGCCATCGGTGCCGTTCCGCCATGAAACGTCTGGGGCGTGTGCCAAAATGGGCTCGGGTACGCATGTTCACCCTTCCACTGGGGCCCTCGGTGGAGCTCCCCATGGGCCCACAAAACGTGTGAGGGTCTGCCGGAATGGACGCGGGCACCGATGTGAACCCTGCCACTGGGGCCCTCGGTGGAGCTCGCTTTGGGGCCACGAAACGTGCGAGGGGTCTGCCGACATGTGGAGGGCACCCATGTGAATCCTGCCCACTGGGGCCCTCGGTGGAGCTCCCTGTGGGCCCACGAAGCGTGTGAGGGGTCTGCCGAAATGTGGCTGGTACCCATGTGAATCCTGTCACTGGGACCCTCGGCGGAGCCCCCTCATGAAGCCACAAAACGTAATCAGGATCTTGCGGGTTCCTCCCATTGGGGGTGGTCGGTCGCGTCCCTTTTCTCATGGGTAAGACGTCCGAGATGATGGTGTCGATGATGGCGTTGTGCTGTGTGGTCGTCTTCTCGTTGTCGTCCGAGCGGTTCTCATCCTTCTCGCGTTTGGTCACGTGGCTCTTGTCCTTCTGGGTGGTCTTATCTTCCAGCTCTAATAGGGGTTGTCCTCTTTTCGCCTAGCCAGTCCTGCGGCGACTGCTGGTGTGGGTCGTGCTGCTGGTGTCGGTGGCGGTGGTGGTCGTTGTGGTCGTGATTGCCACTTGGGTTGGTATTGGGGCGCTGCTTTAGACGCCATGGTGGCTGCCTGGAGCCGCCGAGCGCTGTGGTGAGCGCCGAGGAGGTCCCGTGCGCCGGCGCTGTGCAGTAGGACGCGCGCGTCGGCACGCGCACGGCGGAGGCGCCTGTGCCAGGCGGGGCTGCGAGAGCAGCACTGCCGATGTAGGCGTGGCCCCACCCCACGGCGGGCAGCGAGAGCGACAGTTTTCGCACTGGGTGTTCAGGGAATCGC